TAAAATATTAATTGATAAAATGGTACACAAGGATGTTACATCATCAGTCGTTCTCTGTGTCGTTAAATTGAAACAGGAAAACCATTGGATGATGAGAAGTTTTGAAAAACCCATTGGTTAACCAAAAACGTCACTGTTAGGGAGAATAACTCCTTTCCGATTGGAAAGTCGGTAATTTAAGGGATGGAGAATTTAATTTGACTAAATGTGACGAACTCGTGGTGTAAATGATACGTGAGCTAAAAAGCTAGGAAGCAATGAACACCTGTGTTTCGAACTGGGTGGGTCTCATCAGTAGTGCGAATCCATCGACCGAGCTGGGGATTCCCATCGGGGACCTCAAAGGCAGAACGTAAGTATACTACCCATTCGGCCACCAGACAACTGATCAGACCGGTTCTTATTTTTGAGTATACAAGATGGATCCACAATTCTGTCAATTGACTCGCATTGTTGATGAGACCCAACCAGGTGAAAAAAAGTTATTCAATGCTTCGTGACATTTCAGCTCACACCTCAATTACACGGCAGACTCGTCATATCAAATTTCGCTAAAGGTTGGGATGATAACCGTTATACAGAAAGTAAGGCGTACCGAGGATTGTGGGTAGGAACAATAAGATACCAGTAGCGGAACTTTACAACAAGATCATGTTCACTTACGGGACATTGTCCTCTCGTCAAACAGGGGAGCTTTTCTGGCTTCCTCAAGACGTTTTGATGAGGTTCGTGTATGACTCTGCTGCGTAGTTGTTAGGAGGGAAGGCATGGGGCATGTAAAACAAATTACTCCAATTGATGCATACGTGATTCGAAGAAAGTATATAATGTTCAGGTTTCATAAACAGCATCTTAAAGCATGGGCTCTCTGGCTAAGGGAACTGACTCAAAATCTGCAAGATCCCATCATTTCGAGTTTGGTTTTTGTGGCCAAAACTACAGGATACGAAAAACGTCCCAAACAGGAGATTTTTGGAGTGAGTTCAGTGTGCATAGTCACCAACGGAGCAGTACTGTTTGATTATGTCTTTCATTCAGCCTCAGTCACCTCCTGACATGACCATAATAAAGAATTTCGGAGATCCATAAGTGTCACTGTTTGAAGCAATCATATCATTCACCTTCTTCAACGGACTGATCACGTGATTCACTCACAACGTATATTGCAAATCCACATGTACTTGGCCTAACGAGAGTACTACCTCACTACACACTATAT